TTGCCAATAATAACCACACAGTAGTAATTATTGTTCTTGTTTCATTCGGCCGATGAAATAAAATGAGACTGCATTTCATTTGAAAAATAAATCTTATATAATCGGGCACAGAATTTAAAAACATAACCAGTATTACGGCATTAACTGCACAGGAAGACACGTTTTTAAAAACACATGCTGTTAGACCGCTGGCCTTTTCTTTAAAGAACTGGTATATTTTTTTTGAAAATATTTGCCGAACGGCGCTTGCTGAATGGATCATATACAGGACACATCTTATGCTAAACTAATTTTAGTAGAATGGATCAAATAATAATATTGATTTTTAGATTATTTGCTAATCTTACCTCAGTAAGAGATCATTTTCTACACCACTTGCAGACCATCTTTTCGCATTTGAAATTCATGCGCTTATAAGTGTCTTGGGCCACCACAAAATACCAGTCATGCTAGTGTTCGTCGAACATTTAGAAAAAAACATTATTTATCGCAAACGATTATTTGCAGTTTGCATCCCACGGTTTTAAGTCTTCCCAGGGGACTTGATCCGGCAATCGAAGGACCATCTTCTCAGGACTGGTGTGGCCCGAAGTCGCAGCAAAACGGAGGGTTTGGCCGAGAGAAGCAGCCCGTTTTGAGACTAAAAACATTAAATGCCAAAATTGATTGAAATATTAGGATGTTTTAGTTGCGGTTTATGTACAGTCGGAGTTCTTAGGTATTTCGAGAAACGAAACTGTACTTGACTGTAAAGTTAAAAGAGAAACGGTTAACGGATGCGATTTCTGAATAAAAAACGCGCCTGATTTCTAAATAATGTTTTCGACATCGTCAAGCAGTAGCTTCAATCATTATTTTTAATCTAGAGCAAATTGATCTACTATGCTTTGTTGAGGGACACTGTCGAGCAATGCAACTCTTCTCGGGAAAGTTCTGTCAATAATTACTTGACACGAGTGATTTCATATCACCATTGCTTGCAAGCATTTAACTTTACTCAGCAGTGAATGCGGATTTTTTCCAACTCATAAAAACTATTCATCCCAGTAATCGTGCTTGAAATTGAACCCATAATTTTCTAGAGGTCCAGCTATTTCTTCGACATATGCATACTATTTTTATAGACCGCAATTAAATGTTTTTTTACCATTTCTACAGGAATTAACTTACTGTGGTAATGTAGGACATAACATATCTTGAAATCTACACGCATAGAAATTTATGATTATATATAGAAGATGCCTAGTTTGTCCAAGTCGTTGACGTAGTGGATTAATAAAGTTTATATTGCCCGTACGCTAGCATTTTGTCCAGTCTCATTTAGGCATGCATTGCGGTACAAATATCTTCAAGGCCAAGTTGCTATTCATTCTCTGACATATATTGGACAGAGCGCAGAAAGGGGCAGAAACCACGGAGCTCTGCGCTCTACGAGACCATGAATGAGGGGATAAATCAAGCCGGCTGCATAATTCATGCAAACATTGCACACTGTCCATTAATCCTTTCTAAGAGAAAGTCGTTAGGATGATGACTACGATAGTCCTTTGCTAGGGGGTCTCGGACAAAACAACGTAGCTTTCGCTTGGAATACAGCTATTTGCCCTAATATTAAACTGCCAGCATGGAGCCTTTTTGTCATGATACCGACATAGTGGATTCAGCAGTCTTAAACGATAAAACCTCAATGCTTTCCAATGCCAGCTGGTAAATGATGAAGGCTTTGGGAAACAATCAAAATGACTGTAAGAGTTGCATTTTAAACGCAAATCACGTTAGCAGCGAGTTCTACTCAAAGTGGTAAGTGTTAAATAGTTCCTACGAACAAACTTAGCCAAAAGAAATTCGAATCGAGTTCAGCTGCTGATACTTAAATGCGCACTTCATATTTTTATGACAGTCGCTTACCGGTATCGCGGGAGTTAGAGGGTGCTTCTACAAGGGTTGTTCTGGCAATCATGCGATGCACTTCTCAGGAACAACCCTAACTACGATTTATGTATCCTAGATTCAACGTCTAGATTACTGAAAAGGGGGTTCTCAGTGTATTTAAATGTTCTAGCTAGGAAGTGGATGTATGACCTTTCATGAATACATGCAGACATTAAATTTTTTGGCGCAAGTGATATCATCACGCTGACTTCTGTGAGGTTTTGGTTTGGAAAATGATTCCGTTAAGGCATCGCATGGCAATCCAGACGCCACACAGCAGTGCGTACATGAATTTCAGTCCAGTCGGTTGGACTTCTGAGATTCCGCACTTCACCGAATATATTGGATTTCGGCAGTGCGGTTTGACTTTTAAGAAGCGATTAGGGTTGCCATTTCATTTCCTAAATACCGAGTAATAAAACTGCAGACAGGAATCGAAACTTTTGAAAAGAAATCGAAGTAACGTTTTGTTTACGGCAAGTGGGGAACATCCAAGTTTGCACGGAAGACCTGAGATCAAATAAGAGATAACTAAGGATGATCAAGATGCTGGACTTCGTATATATCTTCCTTGACCTTTGTCTTGTTGTCTTTCTGCATTATTGGGAATTATCGATGTCTGGTTGGTTAAGAGATGCGTTAGACTTAAACCCAGAGGTGAGATATAGGTGAGAGATGAGGTTTTCTGCATATATATATATTTGAAGACCACTAAAATTAGTCACCCCCTTGCCCGTACTATTAACCGGCTGCAAAAGCGTAATTATGCTGTTAGGTCATGAAAAGAAATAGAAAAATTGGCAAGGTTCAGTGTAATGCGCATTTCTTTGACCGCAGTTCATAATAAATACATAAATATATTTTCGTTTTTTGCAAGAACACTTTCAAAAATATTTTTTGGGCCATGGCAGAGCCTTCACTTTTTCCTCCGTCGAGCATAATGCAACGCCTGACAGTAGAATAAAATTGCATATAAGGATGGCGTTTTTTTAAAAATTTGGTCGCATCAAAAGTTGCAAAAGAATGGAACAAGAAAGCATTAGTTGATCCAAATGACTGCTGACACTCTAAAAAAGCCCCCACCGTAAAAGCTGAAAGGCTTTTCAGGACCATTTTTATGAAGAGCGCGCAAAAATACTCCCGAGGTTTTTTAAATGAACTGGTGCACAATATAATGTTGGCTAATATGCAGAATAAATCGAATATAGCCGGTCGGTCAATACATGCCTACTTTTAATTTCACTAGCTGTCATTCATACGATCTGTCGGCCGGTTGCTTAATAGGCGACAATTGTTAGCCGAAACAGCTGATGGGAACACATCCTATCGATGCCTATTTCGGATAGAGAATTGTGCCCCGTAAATAGCAGAGAAAATTCATTATAGACTGAAAACTGAAGGTTTTGCCATACAGAAAACAACGTAGTCGATTTCAAGTAGAATGTAGACAAACTTCTAAAACAATCGCGACGACCGGTCCCACTGAACGCTTTGAATCGGCAGATGAAAGTCAGTTTGTAACTTTGGAAACTATCAGACTGCTGAAATCGCTTTTGCTAGTAGGCCGCGAAGGTCCAAAAAGGGAGTCCCACAAAACCTGGCATCTACTAAAGAGCAGCTGAAAAACACTGCACAATATACAAGAGAGACCATATCGTCCACATTTGCACCTTGTAATCAATGCAGGTGATTGTGGTTGTCGAGAAAAAGTCTCTTTAATATTTCAGTAACTCTGTAGGAAGTATGCCAATTTTCCAGAAGAAATGATTTGCGGTGGCTGAACGACTTTTAATTCAAACGGTCAAGGAAATCGCCATAATTCGATGTTAGGAGTTCGACCGTGTTATCGACCATGTCCAGTATGTGCTCCACAGCAAGGTGAAGCAGACGCGGTGACTTGCGCGTGATTTAGCGTAAAGTGCGTGTGGACTTGCGCTGTATCTACCGCACTAGCTCCCTGCCCTATTTGGGCCCGGTGTAAGAAATATCCAAAAATACCGGAGCGAGGAAGCGCTCAGGTGGCTGGCATGGCCGTGGCCGCACTTGGGCGAACCATCACAGCTCCTGGTCCACAACAAACAAACACTTGACCAGGATTTTAAAAAACAACACCACCGCCACGGGCCAGAAAGACGACGACGATGAATGGTAACCTTGCGTACGGCTTGTATACCCATCGGGAGCGCTAGCTCATGTACTGACAGGGAACCCGGCGCCGGAGAACCGCCAGCAAGAACCAGGTTGCAAGGGCCATGGTTTGTTAGTACTGGCAGGGCAGACACGCACATTCCTTAAGTATTCCAATACTATCGGAGTCAGAATCTTTGCTTCAGTTTTAATCGAGCCGACCTTGATTGACTGCACTGTAACAGACAATAGCTATGTAGCAATGCCACATAGTTAATGCAGCTCCCCATTACAGCACTGTTTGAGCGACTGACTTCATCAGTATCCGCCCACGCAAATGCAATTTGGGTTGCGGCTCAGAAGGGCATCATCCTCGTTCACCTGATCCTACTCCTGTGCACTTTTCCTCTGACGTGTGATGATAAAAACTCAGTCTACACTGGAAGACCGAAGACTATTCATCAACCTACCGCAAGCATAGGGGATCATTGTACAAAAATCAAACGAAGACTTGTGCCGACGTGTGTGCTGAACGCGATGGGTATTTAGCGCAGTCACTCTGATTGTGATCTATATGATTCCTGTTTCATGCACGTTTGTTTTTAATCATGTATGACGTAAATACCAATAGGTATTTTTGATAGCCGGACTACTTCCGACTAATCGTGCAAGAGCGGCGCATCACCAAGTTTTTTGTGAAGAATTTAAAGGACTTTCTGCACGTTCCCGAATCTCAGCGTAGTTTGGAATTTATTCATTATTTTTATAATCCTCCGTAAGTCCCAACTGTGCAGTGCAATACCTCCGAGTACAAAACCTGCTCAAACTCTCAGGGAGTCTGCGTTGATATTAATGGCGATTCTCAAGCAGACCAGTGTATTTGTCCTCCCTTCCTGGCAAAGAGGAAGTCCAACCTATACGGTGGGACCGACGGCCACCGCATGGAAGGCGGCGAGGCGATCTCTCATGACACCAACTGGTCCTCCATGAATGTCATCCTGGAGAAACAGGTTCGTTCTGATAAGGACTCGCCCGCAGTCAGCACAGACCTGGAGTGCTCCATGCCGCTTGGTATGTTCGAGAGTTTTTTTCTCGGTACGACCCAGGTAAAAGATCTCGAATTAAGCCCTCTTTAGAAAGGACAGGACCTTTTATTTTTTAAATTAATCTTTGTGGCTCGAAAAACCGTAGAATTAAATAGTGTACTGTTTTGCAATTTTGTGCCATTATGTACAGCCCTTCTAAAAGTTAATGGCCCTTGTTTGAAATAATTCATAAGTGCTGTTTATATCGAAAACCAAACTAATGTGTCACATACAGAAATGTGGCTGTCTTTGTCAAAACAGTGGCCAGAATAAGCCACATGTAGATAAAAGGCTTCGGCGTCTAAAATTTTAAAGACAATTGGACATTTATGGAAGCTAAAGCAGGCGCCTAGACTTTGAAAAGTTGTTCGCACCCAAATTGACCCCGATCTTACACTTTATTCGCGAATAGGAAGACAGTTTGCTGAGACCCAATTATTCGTTTTGGCAATATATCCGTCAACTAGGTGTAATTCCCCGAACACTACTTCAAATAACGACGAATTTTGCTGCGAATTCTAATTTGCTATTTTGAGGGACACAGTGTGATTTTTGCATTTTTGATGGAATGTCGGTTATGATTATTGTTTTTAAGAACTGTACTGTCCGGTGCGTTTAAGTTTCAACTTGTATTGCACCGTATACGGAAGTTCATAACACACTTCGTTCAGACTACTTTAAACTAGATGCCGGGCATCTAGTATCTGGAAACCACAATATCTGATCAGCTTTGTTAAATAATGTCCTTAAATGACTTTAAGATACAACGGTGACGCAAGCGTACATCGGCACAAATTTCGTCTGGTAAAAATGTAGACCGAAGGTGTGCTACTTAGTAAACTTTAACCCTATTTGGTCAGCTTTTGGAAGCAAATGACTCCTGGACAAATTTATTAAAAGAATAAAATTCAATCATTATTCAAGGCGTCAGTTGTTAATCTTACACGAGTAGAAATGACAGCGGCACTACTATTTATCGGAAAATCAGAGAGTATTAACTGCCTTATATGTGAAAGTATTCGTCGTTTAAACAAACTTTATTGAAGCACAGACTTTAGCAAATTATTTGCCATTCTCGGACAAATAGGTAAGTGACGGTGGAATTCAAGCCATCACCTTTTGCGTTAATGTTTAACTTAAAGACCATACCCAGAACTCTAGGGATTCATCAGAAGCCTAGACCAGAAAGGCCTTAAAGACCACTTAAGTTGTCATGAAATGATCAGGATGAATCAGCACGTACCTAAAGGACATAAGCTAAGAGAAATATTCCCGCCCACACTGTCCACCCTCCTCACTTGTTGCTTGGGTATGTCATCTACACACTGTGAAGACGTAAAGGCGTAATGGGGAAGATATCATATGCACTTTGCATACCATAAACCAGACATCCCAGGGACAATACGGGCCCAGATATTATTAATTTTGACCAGTCAAGAGAGAAAAGTTGTCGGGTTACACAGTGCCTCGTGAAAAAGGTTGGATCAATTGCTTTGTGGTAGCGATTGACAAAGTTATAAGAGCTCACAGCTGGAGCTCTGGGCAGGGGTTTGGGAGAATGGGCCGTAAGCTGTAATAATTTCCTCACTGTCACTGGCCCTTCATAAACACTCTGATTGCTATGCGGTATAGCTTACAACAAAGCCACTATATGAATTTACAATTAAAGATTTCATAATTGCTCTTTAATTTTTAATGTAAATTTCATCGTCGTTTAAAGTTCCCAGAACAGTGGTCAGTGTCAGCTCCTTTAAATGCCTATTTCTAACCACATATGTGTTCAAAATGGTAATTCAACTGGGCAAGATACGCAGTGCACTGCTCCAAAGAGAATTACGTTTACAAACCAAGACAAATATATTAAAGAAGAGAATATGCAGATACAGATTAAATGTCATAAAATTTTCCAAGAAAGCTTCCACATAATAACTCGCTGTACCGCACAAAAACCCGAATTATATTACAAATAACCGATCTGAAACGCAGACAAAATGACGGTTGCACAACTAGTGGTATTTAAAAATAAGTAGGAGACTTCGGAAGCATATGAAGTGGAAATCAGTCGTACCAGAGGAGAATCAAACGGGAATAATCTTTCCGTACGTAGGCAGGTGATCAGTAAAAAAACCCCGATTCTTTTTCCTTCTGATCTTATGTGCGATCAAGTATATAACATATAGAGTATAAGTGCAGCCTCCTGGCAGAATGCAAAAAAATCCACAGATATTTATATGACTAGTTGACTTAATAAAGGTTCGTTCTCCTAATGTGTTGAAAGTGCGATTTTTGAGTACTTGCACTAGGATCCAATAAATGAAAAGCACTTATAAGTAATACCACAGAGACATGATGGTTGTTGCGTAAATACTGCTTTCCGAGGAGCAGACACAATCGTGTTATTGTCTTTATTCCTCTTTGAAAACTGTAAAAACACATGAATTAAATGCAACAAAATATCTCTAAAGGTTTCGATTTTTCATTATTATCGGCAGATAGGGTTCTCAAGATTATCTTATTTGAAGTTATCAAAAGCCCTAGGATACGATTTGTAAAAATGTCTTTCATTATAAAGTCAGGCTTTGCACGCTGCTATTTCCATAAAAATAATTTATTCGTAGTTATTGACCTACCTACAAGGGAAAACCCATCATCGAATAGAATAGGCAACTTTAATATTGGCTGGCGGTGACGCTGTGTCTTCGCAATAAGAACCAAAACGTGTTTCGAACTATTTTCCTAAAATGAATATCGGGATATTGCTGTCTATGCAAGTAATGATAACAGTTCCATAGCTATAACTTCTTAAAACTTGAAACCAACCGGCTAGTTAACTTTTCCTTATGTGACTAATTTATCCAAACTTATCAAAAAGAAGTTAAAAAAAACAGTTACAGGTTGCGCAAAAACCTACTGTTAGTTTGCACCTCCAGCTTTGCACACCCTTGGAACAGGATTGCTTATTTCAGTAGAACGGAAATCGCCTACAAATTCCCATGTATCAGTTATGATGCAGGACGTTTCTGGTCAGTCAGCGAAATATCTTTCGAATCGTACACATGAACATCACCTCGCAGTAAAGAGACCTGACCATTTATTCCAGAAACTATTTGTATGGGGTAAAAACCGCAACACTAATGTCCGCCCAGCACGAAATGACGCTGTAGCTCTCCTTACAATACAATCAGGTTAGGCATGTAGAAATACGCTTATTGATTTTGCTGTCATGGGCAATTGCGAAGGTCAATTTTCTGCGAACATACGAAGTACCGACGGGATAACTGACACTGGAAGATGCTTATTGGTATAAACGTCAGGCAACCGCAGAATTGCTTGTACGGCATGGTTTAAAGTTACCTGCATTCTGTACATTTTCACCTTGCTTGACGATGAGCTGGAGAATCAGTTACGAGAATATATGCACTAGAAGTTTGATCTTCAAGCTATGGAAAACATCGATTGCGTTGTGCAATAAAACTTGTTATAAACTCCTTGCTGACATGCGATTAGCAACCATTGATGATCCGGAAAGGGAGTCTGACTAAACAGTGGTTATTTCTAATATCCCGTCCCTTGTCAGTTAGATGTGCGAAACCCAGGCCTCGTTAAGACGGGATTCGGGTCAGGCCCACATGATATCTGATTCTATTTTCGATTTGTCTTTAAAAAGTTACGCTTGCTGGAAATGTAGGTTAACAGTAGCCTTTGGATCACAAACCATAGGATTATTTTCTGACACTAATGCTGATTTGTGGAACAAAAGACCATACATTTTGCCAGTCAGAATTCTTCAAGTTAAAACCCATGATCACTTGGAAAGAGCCTTTTAATCAACATTTTTTGCATTTAATTTACGCGACGAAACGAATTGCCGTCAACATACACAAATGTCACTTGATTAAAGGCCTCTCGCATAGCACAAAGCCCTACGGCAAGGTAAGGCGCAAACACCCGAATGTCTTTTTCGATAGCAAAGTGCAAACAAAGCATTTCTGAATTCCATCATAATGGGCTCTGTTTTTCCGCGGTAAAATCGTCCCAAGAATAGGTATTATTTAAATGAAGCAGTCGGCATAACCACTCGCTTAATATCAAAATTTCTATCATATATTTTAAGATAATGTTTCCATATCGTCTTCTCATCGAACAAAGAAGTGCCAGTATGCTAACACTACTTAGCAGATCCTAGAATACATGAGCTGTCCGCTAATGCTCGGGAGGACAGATACCGGCAGGTACTGCACTAAAGAGCGATCCTAGAACTTAAGTCTTCTAAAACCTACGTAAACTAAAATGCTAGAATTAATCGACTTTAACGCTACATATTTTAATAGAATATCTAACTCGCTTACAGGACTGGAAATAAGAATTGCCCCGCCCGCTGTATGCGACGTTGTATTAAAATTGCGAAAGCTGGATATTTCGGGCGATGTTTACTATTTTTCTACTCGGCTGTTGAAAAACGCAGTGAGGTATCTTTCTCATTCTCGCCGATAGTGCACTTATCACGGACGCGGGAGACCTGTCTTTTGTCACACAACAGCTACCGTGGACATTTCCTGAGCACCTAGTACCCAGTTGCAGCTAAACCTAGCTGCGTTTAAATGACTACGTCTGAAACTATTTACGTACAGTAAAAAACCTCATTTGTTTCCCGTGCTTCATCTTCTTTTCTTATTCTTGTTCTTGTTCTTCTTCTTCTTCCGAAAATGCACCCATCGGTAGAATATTCGGACAACGGTATGAAGAACGACCCGACTTAACTGACGGCCGACTGTGAATTACGTCATATGGGCTTTTATCTTGACATCCATTCACAGACCTTTGCAGACATTACACTACTAATAACAATCACTTGCCATGACTTCAAACCATCACTCAAACACCTTTATTTTGAGGAACGTACTCCTTGTTTATTTTTAATTACCGCGCTCATTTCTCTTGTCGTACGAAAGCGTAATATGAGTCCTTCAGGAGAAATCTAAACTGTTTCTGTGCTTTCCCGCATTTTGTCAGCTCACTGTCTAGTCTGCTGCTCCACCCCTAAAACTCCCCTTATCACCAATCACGTATGACACGATTCATAGTCTGCCGACAGTACAGCGGGTCTATCTTCATACCCTTTCCAAATTTTGCGTTAAATCTTTCCTGTGTCAGTAATTGCTCAGTACACATTATGTACGGATTGCGTAATCATACGCAAAGTATGTGAGAAACTGCTATGGCCGGAGTGTAAAAGTGCATTTATTATGCGCAGCGTGGGCTATTTCTAGTTCTTTAAGGCTGTCAAATGTAGCCTTACCAACATATCCTTACGCAAATCCTGAATAATGGAGGTAGTGTGCATTCCGAGGCGATATAATAAAAGGAGAAGGCTCGTCGGAAAATCGAGCTATACTCGTGAATTCTCAAGTCGGTTACACCAACCCTTCGTCAGACGAAATGAAAAGTGTGAGGGAGACAATCGCACTTTTGAACACAGGCATCCCAAGAATCATAATTCGGAAGAAATAAGTTCTTTGGGAAAGATAAATTAGTTTGAGTGCGTATTTTCGACTTTTGTTCCCTTAAGTCGTCCTCAGACGTGAAGTGTGCAAAACAGTTAACATTTAAACATGCCTAAAAATCTATTTTGCCTTCTCACTCCTGCTGGCGTAATGTCCTGATTAATCAATGCCTTTTCTACTTCTTCTCGAGGCTGTTGTACACCGCATCCAATTCTACGTGTCGATTGATGCATGCGTTATCAGAATCGATGGCCTCTAAAAATTCACGGCGCTTCTTAGATGAGCATACACCTACAATGCGAGTCCTGTCCCAAGCGAATTTGTGTCCAATTTTTAGCGTACGCATGGCAGCTTGGGACAAGTGGTCTGGCCTTTGTACGAACAGTTGATGTTCGCGTATTCGTGTAGAGGCCTATTTCCCAGTTCGTCTGCATTAAACCGAATTAAGGTGTCGGATGGTATCTTAGAGACGACCTCCTTCTTATCTAAATAGCAAACCCTATCCTTTGGGTGCACAATCTGGTTACGAAGTGTAGTCGTCGAATTGTGCGCCACATGTATTTGGTGCTTCATCAGGTGTCTTTCAACTAGTTCGGACACATTCTTATTGCACAGAAGTGCTCGCCAGTTTTTTGGTTCGGGCGACTGATCGGATCAATCTAGTTCCTTGTCTTTTTCTTTTAACTCCTGTCGTCTCATGCATCGGTGTACAGAATATCTTGGATATCCTTTCTGGGAACACAGTATGAACAAATAATGTAGTTCTGTTTGATAGGTTTCATTGTCAGAGCAGTGGGTTCTTGCTCGGTTAGGGAGGCTGTTTGTGAGAGATCGGGTGATTGCTCTCGTAATGCAAAAGCAATTCCGCGCAGGTTTCCTTTCGGTAAACCGAAGTATGAAATGTCCCGTCAGGCTTCCTCTGTACGAGAACATCAAGAAACCGGAGTTTGTTGTCAGCCTCTTCCTCAAGTGTGAATGCGATTCCTGGAAGTGTTGAGTTTATAATATTGTATATATATATATATATATATATATATGTATGCACGTGTCGACCCATTTGGCCTTTCTTTGCTTTTTCTGTAAGTTCGGGTTGCGTGCTCCACAAAGACACTCCTGGTGTGCCTCTACCCACCCTCATACCCGCCCTACCAATCCCTCAACCAGAATCTCGCCAGTGGACAGGCCATTGCCTACTTTGTGGGCGCTGGACAGACCGGTCAGATGATGGAACGCAGTTGTGTGCTCACCTTCAGTGAACTGCGCGCGCAGGGGCTTCCATCTTATCGTCGCGCGGGTGCCGCAGTCGACGCTCTCTTTGCGGCCATGGAGAAACACCTCTGCACTTTCATCGACTTCAAGAAGCAGTCCAAGAAGCGCTCGCCTTGTGGCACTTCTGTTGATCGAAACTCGGTGAGTTGCGCTCCAGACAGGCAAACTGTTTTTGAAAATCGCCTCTACGGAGGAAGGAGGAACAAATGAAGGTCTTGAAGAAGGAGACACGATCGCTTCGACAAGAGCTTAATTAGCCTGACGTTTCAGATTCCTGCTTGAACCAATCATCAGAGACAAGAGCAGATACGGGTGGTTCATGCACAAGGGGCTGCAGTTGCCATACCTACTAATATTCACGGCTCCCCTCTCCATCAGAGTTCGTTGCACGTGGTGTGATGGCTGTTTGATGGCCGACATTCACGTCGGACAAACCGGAAGACAGCTCTGAACGCGAATGGCTGAACACGCTGCAGCGGTGCGGAGAAATGACGACAGCACTCAAGTTGCAGCTCATTCGACGGGATCTGATCACAAAATCAAATTGGATGAGGCCGAAATTCTCGCAAGTGGTGACAACCGCGTGAGCCGGGAGCTGCTTGAGTCATGGTTTACTGGCCCCCAGTCCATTAACAAGTGCAGTGATCTTCCCCTTCCATGCTCGGTGCTGAGGCATAGCCTAGGCGGAGTAATTAGCCACGCGGAGAGCGCACATGTGAACACTTGTCCCAACACCAGGATCGGTGCGTCAGATGGTCGAGCAATCATCACACCAACATCCAACGCAGGTGATGAAATTGCAGCAATTAACGACGCGAATGTCGGCCATTACATAATTAGCACACAAGGTGCGACGATCCCGGATGAAAGGGGGAGCCGTGAATGTTCATAGGTATGCGGTAGCATGGCGACTGCATGGTATAAATACTGCAGCCCCTTGTGCATGAACCATCCGTATCTGCTTTTGTCTCTGATGATGGGTTCGAGCAGGAATTCAAAACGTCAGGCTAATAAAGCTCTTGCCCCGGCGATCGGGTCTCCTTCTTCAAGACTACATCCTGGGATTCGTCTCTTCGCTTTTATTAATAAGCGAAGGTCTAGCCACGAGGTCCCATCTTTTTCTGTGTCGTATAGCGCTGGTAAGTGGTATATTGATGATTCAAGGACCGAAAGTATGTGTCTCCGGTATTTGGAAAGTTAGACAAGCACAAATATTTTGCTGTGTCTCAGACAGTCAGACTGTCTAGGTGGGGTCTGAACTATGAACCCGAAGTCCTAACATAACTGCAAGCTCACTGCAGATATACGGGTTGTGTGATAAGTAAGCAGCTCTGATTATGGATTCAAGCAGGAATCCGAAACGTCAGGCTAATATAACTCTTGTCCCGGCGATCGTGTCTTCTTCTTCTTCTTCTTCAAGCAGCTATCTGCGATCTACAAGAGATCATGCAGGATTCGTCATCAGAGTCCTGTGCGAAGTAGTAGAGTTTTGCACGAGTTTTGTGTGGTTCTTAGTGTGATGACCTATCAGCCGACACTGACAACGCTATTAGGCCGATAGATGCCGCAAACGGACATTAATAAATTGCAGAGATCTGTGAATGGACTACTGGATCTACACAATGACCTCGTTGTCGACGTCCTTAAAATGTGCAATCAGACACTATAGACACTTCATTATACCTCGGTGCGACCTCAAATGATTAAAACAAGCATCCGTCAAAGATTTTGATTATTCGGCTGAACAGTATATTGGTAAATGCACTGAAGACCACAGCCGCCGCGGAGAAGGCTAATTTACTTCTACGTCTTGATTTCAGTTACCAGTGTAAAAAAATTTGCGTACATATACGGCTGGAGAAGCGACATATAGATGTTTTTCTTAAGCGTGGTAGGCGCCGTACTCGGAAATATTACTAAAATTAATATTGGTGTTGTAGCCCGACGGGTAGTTGGAAGAGATGGTAAACGTGTTCCGGAAAAAACCACCGCGTTCTTACAGCCTGCGAAAACACGGTCCCTGAACTCCTTAAAAGACGCCTTATTGGTTTAGGTCCTCGGGCGATTCGGATCTTGTGTCGTGGCCGCACTTGCAGTAGATAATCCCCAGCCGTCTTAATATGAGACCGGTGGTAATAGAGGGTTTAACACAAACTCATAACCCTAACGCCTAATTAGTGGCACTAATCCCTAATCCCTAACCTTTACTGCTAAACCTTTACGTGAACCCCTAAACTTAACCCCCAAGCCTTACTGTAATCCCTTATCATAACGCCAACCCCTGACTTTAACCCTTAATCCCAACCCCTAACTCTAACCTATGACAACAACCCCCAGCCCTAACCCCTAACAAGTGCGGCCACGAAATAAGATCTTACCCTGGACGTTCCGGAGAATTCCGGCCTTGGCGTGCCAGTCGTGGAGAATGCTCTTGAACATTCCGATCAATGGCGTGTTGGCCGTGGATTGGCTGTTGTCGTGTAGTGGCCGAGGACGTCAAGGATAGCACACACCGAGTAAGCGAAGCAATGGGAAGAAATACTGACAAAGATCAATCTGAATCGAGCTGCTAGCATGTCGCAGTACTCATCTACAAGCCAGGGAAGAAGACACATTAAGTAGGCAATATGGTATAATGGGAAGAGATGGAAATTGGTGATACATATAATGGTTGCTAATTGTACAAACGAGACGAGTCACAACCTGAGGAGTAACATGTCTGGATGGTGGGGCCACACTGATATGCCACTGGGGAACGCAGCTCTGTGTTCAAGTGCAGGGGGGAGGGCCGAGGGAGGTGCAGACGTTGAGAGAGAAAGAGAGAGCGAGCATGTGATGCGAGTGTTACGGAAAGTTGCGGGGAGGAGGTTGGCGGTAGAGCGAAGGAAGGCCACCGCCCGTTTCCACCACCACCACCACCACCACCACCACCACCACCATCACCACCACCACCACCACCACCACCACCACCACCATCACCACCACCACCTGATAGCATCCTGACAGTGGGACCTGGCGAATGAAGGATTCTTCGATCTATCAGCAATTCTTCGAAATGTCACCCAGGCTTTACATTGCAAAAAGCCTTGTTATTTTTTCCCAGATTGGAAGTCCAGTTGGCGAGCTAGTAAATATGTATGATAGAAGTAAAAACATGTCAGTGATTGAAGAAATCGATTAAAGTTCTTCTTGAAACACAGGCACAGTGCGGGAATGTGAGGGATGGGGGACAACAGCAGTCAGTGCCAGGGACGGGATTAGAGTGGAAGGGTGCGGAGCGTTGTGTGATTAGTCGACCTTTGACCACGGTAGGCGTGGAGCCTGGACGTGGTTCTTCGGCGCGCACAAAATCGGTTTTCGTAATATAATGGCAACCGTTTCTTCTGCTGCGTGCTGGCGCTGGCTCGGTGGATGGGACCTTATAAGTCACGCGAAACGCTTTGCTAGAGTCCCCACGATGCCCGAAACCAACAACAAGGGCGAGAAGGGGATTGTTTGTGCTCTCACTGTGGCCTTAACCCAGTCATGGTGGAAGGGGTTGTTGTATTAAAATTAAATCAAAACGGTGACAACATTCAGTACGTGCTTTTGGCAGATTTGAATAGTTTTTCTGATCCAACTACGAGACGGCGGAAACTTCAGAGGAATTCGAACCGAGGCTGAGACCCTGACTTGTTCCGTAGCTAACGTGATTGGAGCGTCAGATATTCTCAAGGCTTAACCTCTTGTTAAGGGTTCGAATCCAATCAATGTAGACGACCGTTTAGTGAAAAGTCGTCAATAGTTTAGCAGTATGACTAATAAGGGAACATCGGAAAAGTTAAAACTACAGGACTGGACAAATAATTTGCGAGAATGCTTTATTTACATGCGATAACTGGGCTGACACTAGGTGTTGATCGCAGGCAGTCCAGGTGTTTGACACAAACACACTCAACCACACTCACACCCTGTCCCGAACCTCCCCACATCTTACGGTCCCCTTCCTCAATCTCAACGTCCTCAACGCGCTGACTCGGTCATGCAGGCGACTTCGGAAGGATTGTGACTATGTCTTCCTCCGAAACGCATAAATCCTGTCCACACTTCATAAGCTCATTTCTTATGTAATTGTAGCGATATGATGATAAATTACCGGAAACATACAGTAGGGGGCTAACTCGTGAAATGTCAACCGAAATTTCGAAATGCATTCTCGTTCCGAAAATATTAATTAAGTAGGGTTGTAAAACTAATCAGCCTGCAGCATAATTGTATAATGCTCCAGCTACCTCAAGGTGTCGGCTTTCGAATGAACTTATATTTGACTACTTTGTAAAAAATGACTACTTAATTAGCATACCATTTTCTCATTGATTGTCGATCCCCTTGAAAATTCAATCTTATTTCGTGAAAGCATGCATAAACATATTTCTTCTTTTACTTATTCGGTAAATACTCACGTCTTCTTCCAATTTCATACTCGAAAGAAGGGTATAATTTGGTTTCAAAAAAGATTTTAATTGTGGGATTTTCTATTACCGTGAAATGGCCGTTCAAAAAAGGTCATGTATCTGCATTTACGAATGTGGCTTGTAAAGCTAACAATATTTTTCAAATCCACTGCCTAATATTATGAACCGCATATGGTCTCCTCCTAATACCCTAGAGAAATGCATGGTTTTCCGTATACGGAAAATATACGCCTTGTAATTTTTAAACGCTAAATGCAAGCGCAAATGCAGGTTGGGTTTAAAATTATTCGGGAATTGGAAACGTTTTTAAAACCAAATTATACTCGTCTTTCGAGTATGAAATCGGGAGGAGACGTGAGTGTCTATCAAATAAGTAAAAAAGAAATATGGTTTTGCATGTTTTCTGTGAAAACTAATCGAATTTTCAAGGGGATCGACAGTCAATGAGAAAATTGCATGCTAAGTAAGCAGTCATTTTTTGCAGAGTGTAGTTCTTGCATGCAGTTAAAAATAAGTTCATTCGAAAGCCGACACCTTGAGGTAACTGGATCATTATAGGATTGTGCTGCATGATGATAAGTTTTACAATTCTACTTAATCAGTCGTTTCGAAACGAGAGCGCATTTCGAAATCTCGGTGGACATTTAATGAGTTAGCCCACCTACTGTATGTTTGCCAACTGACTTTTCAATCGTGGCAGGGTTTTCTTATAAATATTGTGAACCAAAAAGGCTCGACAAATATAGTTAACATTTTGGATGGGATTAGATCCTTTACTTCACTTAGTCAAATGCCTAGTGTGTTATTCAAGCAGAACTTTCATTAGTGAATTTGCGATTCCTTCGCTTGACTTCTCAGAAAGGCAAATGCTTAGAGAACGTGGTGGTTAACGGGATCCCAAAGTAAGTGAAACAGTTCGAACATCCAAAACCAGAGTACGCATGCAGGGTCAGCGATCTTAATTAATGACCTCAATTATGTGGCCTTATATTACTCGGCCAAGGAGTTACAATTTTTTAATGAAGTAATTGCACCCTTGCTTCGGATCTGCTAGACGTCGTACTTGATCTCACTGAACTCACACGCGAAAGTTAAATACAATACGCCGGTACAATTACAAATCTCAGCGTATGCTGGAGACTGCGGTAAAAGGAGGATGAAGCGACAGGCACGTGCGAGGAGTAATGTCACCGAAAGGACGCCATCAGGACAAGGAGAAAATCCAAAATCATCGGCCGGTTAACGTGAACACATGGAGAAAACCGTCAGGCAGGTACGAACTAGAACACTGGAACGGTTTCATTAATAATCAAATACGTATAGTTCGAATACGAAATCTTAGTAAAAAAGGGTCGCTGGAGACGTGTTTGACCGATATTGGACGTTGGTCTTCTATGACTCATTGATAAGTCAGAATTACAAAAGTCTGATTAACTTGACGCACGGATCTGCATAGTCCCGATTTCCGATAAACAAGTTGGGTCAAACGAGTTCGATGCCAGTGATAAGGTGTGGACAATCTTTACTCAAGTCTGGCATATGAGAGTTGCACAACTAATGGCATAATGCGTTCAGACGGTAAGCCTGCTCTCCAAAGTCGAATATGCAATCGGGGTCTTCAGACTGAGAAAAACACTGTTGTGCTAACTGTCCCCTTTAGCCGTTCGAACTTCCACCGGCTAATGAAGAAGAAAAGTCAAACGTCATTAGCAGGCCGCTACATATATGTGAACCATGGCTCGGGGCAGTGATTATTCGATTAGCGACTCCAGAGCCTTGGTGTCAGAAAATGTTGATACGAGCTGTCTATCTTCCGTGGCCGACTCAAAGTGATGATAACGTGCCGCCAACCCTCTTATTACACCCACTCCACGTTCTTGACGTACAAAATGTGACCATAGATTCCGACGATGTTTACCGTGTGCCTTAACTCAGGGTAGGCCCAGGAACGGTGAATTGTAGCGGATAGACTAAAGCCACTGCAAGGTCATCTGTATCCTCGAAGTTTGAAAGACTGCTTTGAGTTCGTCGAAGCTATGAAAAATATTAACGTTGACGGACGGAGGATGTTATCACTGGATGTATAATCGCTGTTTACCAACGTACCTGTGTCAGAAACGATAAATCTTCCTTGGGATGTTATTCGTGATACGAACTACCCCATAGGCATGCCAGTAACAACTCTAAAAGATCTACTGACGCGTTGCACACAAAATGTCTAGTTTCTGTGCAATGGTCAACTATGCAGACAGATAGATGGCGTAGCAATGGGCTCACCTCTTGGGCCGTTCCTTGCAAATGTGTTTATGGGTAAAGTCTTAAAGTCAAGATTACAAGATTCCATTAATGACCTCGTCTTCTAAGGTCGGTACGTGGACGATATCTTCTGTCTGGGAGATGGTACCCCCGATATCGACGACCTTGTCCAAAAGTTCAACAGTGCACACCCCTCGCTCAAGTTCACTGCCGAGTCTGAGGCAAATAACGAAATTGCATTCCTCGATGTCCTTCTGCAAAGACAGGAGGATGGGTCTATCCAGCGCAGGGTGTTCCGAAGGAAAACCTGGACGGAAGAATACGCTAAGTTCCACAGATTCGTCCCCCTCAACATCAAAACGAAATCTAGCCCACCTGAAGCGATTGAAACAGAGCTCCAATAGCTGCGGAGCGAGAACGGCTACCCAAATAGATTTATCATCCGAAATATTGCGGAACGCGTTGCAAAGCCCACTGATGCGACTGCAAAAAAGAAAGATGCATTCATAAGACTGTCTTTTGCAGGGGACGGGGCGAGCGAACTAGTCAGACGGCGCTTAATTGCAGCTATCACGAGAGGATTTCCCGCGGCAAATGTTCGCGTATGTTTCACAAACTGTCCCCTCCTACGTTTGGAAAGTATAGACAACTTACCGTTTGAGGCCACATCAGTGTGCATCTACACATTCACTTGCTTCTGTGGAGATGGATAAGTTGGCCCTACAACGAGTGCGTGAATATATGCCCGCCTGGCTAGACGGAGGTGAGACCCGATCGATTCCGAGTTCTATTCTCGCACATTTAACCGATACGGATCACCGAGTCGATGCCAAGGAAGCATTTCAGGTTGTCTATCGGACACCAACATACATCTTTAAAGGCCTACGCCAACGGATACTAGCAACGGCCGAGGCAGTGGCTATACGGCTAGTGAATCCGGTGTTATGCTGTCAAAAAACGCTGGCACAAGCGCTCTTTCTACCGTCGTTAACGCCACCCTCAAGTGATGACGAAATGCCGCCTCATATCCTTAATTACACTGATGGATAATCGGTGTGCTCAATCCAAGAACATCCCTCAAAGGCTCTCTTACCCCCACTCCTAGATCTAAGGACCAAAACTAGCCGATATCGTCATGCGGGCGGCGTGAGGAAAATAAATGTTAATGATTTAATAGGCCTTTAGACAACTATAAACACTGTTAATAGTGTACATTTTCATTTTATTGGCTTGACGAAGAATTAACGAAAACACTTGTTTGCTTACTGGACTTTTCAAGTGTAATATG